AAGCTTTCCTTTTCATCTTGGTACAGTAGTTACCGTGCAGTAATTGCTGCACTCAGCATAGTAAATGGAAACCGATCAGTCATTTTAAATGGAGAGAGGCAAAGGATAGGAGGAATATTTCTGGCTCAGCAGGAAAAGTGGACAATATACATAAAGAGAAAATTCCTGCAGGTCATTTTTGTGCTATTGCCCTTCGTATAATCAAAGAATCGTACAGCACAAAAAGAGGCCATTCGGCCCATCGAGTCTATGCCGGCTCTTTGAAAAGAGCAATGTAATGTCAATCCAACTCCCCAGCCCTTTCCCCATAACCCTGCAAACCCGTGCTCCTCAAATACCCATCCACCGCGTTTTTAAAAGTTGTTACCGAATCGGCCTCCACCACCCTTTCAGGCAATGCATTCCAGATTCGAACAATTCGCTGTGTGAAAAAATTTCTTCTCGCCTCCCCTCTGCTTTTAGAAACTTTTTTAAATCTGTGACCTCAAGTCACCGACACACCCACCAGTGGAAACAGTTTTTCCCTTTTTAACCTATCAAATCCCCTCATGATTTTGAAGACCTCTATTAGGTCTCCTCGTAACCTTCTCTGCTCCAATGAGGATAATCCTAACCTCTGTAGCCTTTCCTCATAATCAAGGTCCTCATTCCTGGTACCATCCTCGTAAATCTCCTCTGCACCCTTTCCAATGCCTTAACATCCTTCCTATAGTGTGGTGCCCAGAACTGGGCGCAGTATTCTAACTGAGGCCTAACCAGTGTTTTATACAGGTTAATCATAACCTCCTGACTCTTGTACTCTCGGCCCCTATTTATAAAGCCTAGTATCCCATATGCCCTTTTTACAGCTTTATCTACCTATCCTGCCACCTTCAAGGATTCATTTACCTGAAACCCCAGGTCTTTCTGCTCTTCACCCCCCACTTAAGATTGTATTACCAGCCTATATTGCTGCCCCTCATTCTTTCTTCCAAAATGCGGTACCTCACATTTCTCCACACTGAAACTCATCTGCCATGTGTCTGCCCATTTTACCATTCTGTCTATGTCTTCCTGCAGTTGGCTACTATCCTTCTCACTGTTTACCACCCTACCTAACTTTGTGTCGTCAGCAAACTTGGAAATGCTACTTGCTATACCCAAGTCCAGATCATTTATGTATATTAAGAAGAGCAGTGGTCCTAATATCGATCCCTGGGGGATGCCACTGTACACTTCCCTCCAGTCAGAAAAGCAGCCATTCACCACACCTCTCTGCTTTCTGTCTCCCAGCCAGTTCTGGATCCATGCTGCCACTGTCCCTTTTATACCATAGGCTTCTATTTTTTACTGTGTTTTTATGTTTTCTTTAAGCTTTGGGACTGGCTACATAGTCTGCAATGGCCTACCCCGCTCCTCCCCTGATGTCAAATACATATTCTGTCTGTTTAAGAATGAGACTTTGTGGGCAGTGAGTGGCAGGGATTTTTACATTTGTTTTTAACCCCCACTCCTTCCCGATAAAACACAAGAACAGAATCCAAACTGTGATAATTAAATATATAACTTTCCTGAGAAAACTGAGATCATCATCTCAGGCCAATTATTAGAATGTTTTCATCTTGATGTGAGCATTTTAACATTTTAGAATAAACAAATGCTCTTGGGGTTTCAAGAGAAAAAAATTTTTTTGCAATTCAGATCACTGTGTGAGATGCAATCTGTGCATTTAAGTGAAAGTGACTGATAATTCATTTTCACCCATGGGTCCATGAGGAAACTACTGAGAATTTACTCTGGTATTTAGTCGAATGATCTTCGTGGGGATGGAGGGATGGAGGAGCGGGGGTCACTAGATCATAATGTTAACCATGTCAGTAGAGTGTTAATTAAAATCTTTCTGTGTTTACTAGCACAACCTCTTGTAGACCAGGCTTAAAGTAATGAACATTTCGAGGAACAGGAAGATGCTTTATCGTGGAAAAATAAATTGGCAACTTGTTTTTCCTCCCAAGCCTCTGCATATTTTTATCTTCTGTTTCTGAATATTTTGTGGCTTATTAGTCCCTTTACCAAAAGTGGAAGGTTATTTCTTAAATTTCTTGGCTGGACCGTCCTGCCAACTGGTGCTGGAGTTTATTGCCAACAAGAAATATTCTTTGCTGTTTCATTACAGAAAATAAGGAACTGGTTTAAAATTATTGAGTATCCCCCAACTTTGTGCTTGAAATGTATTGCTAGATAAAGGAGGAGACACCCAAACATTTGTTTACTTGCCCTCCAAAAAAAAGGCTAGAGCCTTGCTGTAGTATGAGTAAAGGAAACGTAGGTGATTGAGTTAGGACGGGGAGGTCATCCGCAGTTAACTAGAGCAGTTAGGGAAAGAGTCAAATTAAAAGAAAAGGCTTATAAAACTGCCAAGAAAAGCAGCAAATCTGAAGATTGGGAGAGTTTTAGGAACCAGCAAAATAAAACTAAAAAACTCATTAAGAGCAAGAAAAAGGAGTATGAGGCTAGGAACATTAAGTCTGATTGTAAAAGATTTTACAAATATATTAAGAGGAATAGCCTAGTGAGAGTAAATGTAGGTCCACTACAGTCAGCGACGGGAGAAGTTGTAATGGGGGACAAGGACATGGCAGAGTCCCTAAATGGGTACTTTGCATCTGTCTTCACATTAGAAGACACAACAAGTCTGCCAACAATAGAGATGCACCAAAGGGATAAGGACAGGGAGCAACTTAGGGAAATTTTCATGAGTAGAGAATTGGTGCTAGGGAAACTGTTAGCACTAAAAGGTGAAAAATCCCCTGGTCCGGATGGCTTGCATTCCAGGGTTTTAAAAGAGGTAGCTTATGAGATAGTGGAGGCCTTATGTCTGATCTTCCAAAATTCCTTGGATTCTGGAACAGTCCCCATGGATTGGAAGATTGCAAATGTCACACCATTATTTAAAAAAGGTGGAAAGGAAAAGATGGGGAACTACAGGTCAGTGATTCTCACATCAGTGATAGGAAACATTTTAGAATCGTTGATTAAGGATGTGGTAGTGCAGTATTTGGAGGAGCACAATATAATTAGGCCAAGTCAACATGGCTTTACAAAAGGGAAGTCATGTTTGACAAATCTCATAGAGATTTTTGAGGACATTTCCAGTAAACTAGATAAGGGTGAATCAGTGGATGTGGTCTATTTGGACTTCCAGAAGGCATTCGATAAGGTGCCGCATAAAAGATTAGTCCAAAAAATAAGGGCCCATGGAATTGGGGGGAGCATATTAACGTGGATTGAGGAATGGTTAATGGGTAGGAAACAAAGAGTAGGGATAAATGGGTCCTTTTCAGATTGGCGGGATGTGACTAGTGGAGTGCCACAAGGATCAGTCCTTGGACCTCAGATATTTACCATCTACCAACGATCTAGATGAGGACATCAAAGTTAATATATCTAAATTCGCGGATGACACAAAACTAGGAGGAAGTGTCAACACAGAGGATGACATTAAAAAAATGCAGCGAGACATAGATAGGTTAGGTGATTGGGCAGGTAGGTGGCAGATGAAGTATAATGTAGGGAAGTGCGAAGTCATCCACCTAGGTAGCAAAAACAGTAGAGCGGGTTATTTTTTAGAAGGGGAGAGATTGGAATGTGTTAGCGTCCAGAGGGACTTGGGTGTCCTTGTACACCAATCACAGAAAGTTAGTCTGCAGGTGCAGCAGCAATTAGGAAGGCGAACGGTATGTTAGCATTCATTATGAAAGGATTAGAGTATAAGAGTAGGGAAGTCTTGCTGCAACTGTGTAGGGCCCTGGTGAGACCACACCTGGAATACTGTGTCCAGTTTTGGTCTCCTTATTTAAGGAAGGATGTACTTGCCTTGGAGAGGGTGCAGCGTAGATTTACTAGGTTAGTGCCAGGGATGAAGGGGATGAGTTACGAGGATAGGCTGACCAATTTGGGCCTATATTCTCTAGAATATAGAAGAATTAGAGGGGATCTTATAGAAACCTATAAGATCATCAAAGGGCATGATAGAGTAGATAGTGGGAGATTGTTTCCCCTGGTTGGAGAAACTAAAACCAGGGGTCACAACCTTAAAATCAGAGGCAGCCCTTTCGCACTGAGTTGAGGAAGAACTTCTTCACTCAAAGGGTGGTGAATGTATGGAACTCACTACCCCAAAGGGCTGTTGACGCTCAGTCCTTGAACATATTCAAGACTGAGATAGATAGATTTCTTATTGCAAAAGGGATTAAGGGATATGGGGATAAGGCAGGGTCAGGTTATTAGCTGGAGTTAGATTAGAAGATCAGCCATGATTGAATGGCGGGGCAGGCTCGAAGGGCCGAATGGCCTACTCCTGCTCCTATATGTTATGTTAAGAGGGAAATAAAGGTGTAGATGTTGGGTCCCGATCACTGCAGCTGTCTTTCAGTGCAAAATTGCACTTGCAAACACAGTTTAGCCACTACTTTCAGCCTGGCTCAGTTCAAAGAACTTTTCCCTCTTAAGTAAGAAGGTTTGTGGGTTCAAGGCCCATGCCGGTCTTTCAATTCCGAGACTAGGTTGACACTCCAATACATTGATGGGGGAGCGCTGCATTGTTGGAGGTGCCGTCCTTTGGATGAGTTGGTAAACTGAGGTTCTGTCTGCCTGTTCAGATGGGTGTGAAATATTCCACTGTTTGAAAAAGTGAAGAGAGATTCTATCAACAAAGGGTTGAAGTTTATTTTGGTCTATTTTTATCCAAATGATTCTTTCCATTTGTAACAAGTAGTTTCTTTATAAATATAAACCCAAATCTTTCATAATTAAGTTTTGATAAAATCGCTGACAGTCGTAACACTTTACAGAAAATCCTGTGAAGCACTTAGGGACATCCTCTCAATGTGAAAGACTTATCCAATGTAAGAATTATTATACCTAATATATAGGCACTTTAGTAATAATTGGATTTTGGTGAGCAACTTGTACTCCATGTGAGTTCTTCTGACTAACTGACTGCTTTATATTTGTGGCAGGTGCTCTGACCAAAGTAAAGGAGAGCCAACGGCATGTAGAAGAAGGCAAGATAGAACTGAATCAGTCCGGTGGGGTCCGGGAACGCTGTGACACTATTTCATTTGCCACATTGGCAGAGATTCACCATTTTCATCAAATCCGTGTCTCGGACTTCAAGGCACAGATGCAACAGTTTCTTCAGCAACAGATCCAGTTTTACCAGAAGGTGACTGAGAAGTTAGAGGAGGCCTTGCAGAAGTATGATGGAGTCTAACCTCTGTGACTTTGACCTTACACTGTGGCCTTTCACATCCAAAACATGCAGATGGTCACCAGGCCCTTAGCAGATCAAGATCATGCAGACTTCCTACTTTTGGTAACCTACCAACACAATCAAAATCTGTTGTACAGTTTTTTTTTAAAAAAATACCGACTGTTACATGGCAAATTTACTCCAAAATTTGTGTATGGGAGGGCCTGGACAAAGGTTGTTTACTAATATTATGTACTGTTTGCTTACACTACCATACTAACTTTGTTTTGCAAAATATAGTATGTGTATGCTATCTGCCTTTTTGCTTTATTTAACAAGAAGTTACCTGGGGTATACTACTTCAACCCAGGAATCCTCGGAATGATCCTGAAGCAGGATAGATGGGTTTACTGTGTATTGTATATGGCCTGGCCTATTCTAAGCCTGTTCTAACTGCTGAGGAAATGCACAGACTTTGGGTCTGTTCTCTAATCAATCAAAACCCAAAGACAAACTTTGTTTACAGACTCCAGCTAGAGCAGCTATGTTACTCATGTGCCTTTTGAGTCACTGTTTGTCCTTTGTAGTTGATTAAAAGCTTGTGTTAAAGAAATAATGGGATGTGTCACTTGTAATGTGAGTTTCCTCTGCAGAATTGCATCAGGATGTTAAGAAAAATGATCCTGACCTTTGACTTACTGGAGAAAGAAGTCCATATGTCTCTGTGCTGGCTGTAATCACAGGAAATACTAATGGAACTATATTTTTCTCAGGAAAGTAGGAGATACTATTATTTATTTCAAAATATCACAGTTGCACAGGTAGAAACAATCTGTAGGTTTAGGATCCAATATCCACTGTTAATGAAAGCCTCTAGATGGCTTCTGTCAAAATGAGGACTGAAAGATGATGTATTTCCTCTCTCTCCCCCCCCCCCCCACCGCCTGAAAAATGTAATCTGAAATGTTATAAAGTAATGGGAGCAACTGTTTTGGTAATTTTTGCAAATTTGGGTTAACAAAAATTGTTGAGCCTGACCTTGTACTAAAGGAAACTTTCAATACAAATTTAAATTCATAATGGAAAATATCTTAATCGCTTGTCTCCTTTCTTATTTCCATTTTCTAATGATTACAGCTTCCAAGAAAATAGACTGAAAAGCCTCCCCCCCCACCAAAAAAAGTTGATTCCTGGTGTAATGTGGCCTAGCTACAGTTGAAGGCTATGTTTGACAAATAAGGTATCTAAATTCAACACTTATTTATTGGCATTGTCGTCTTTTTCTCTCCCTGCCACTCCTCACCCCACCCTGGAACACCACTATCATCATCTGAAAAGCACCAATCTGTAAGAAATGCCCTGACAATGAATTATGCATACTCGCGATTACATTGTGTTGCTTGTGGGAGTTTAACATGATCCTTTGTGTGAGAAGCATTTGAATGCAGTCACTGACAAAAGGAATTATTGTCAATAGCAGTCCCTACTAAATAATGACCAAAGAAGTGATGTTTTTTCCCTTTTCAAAGATTTCCACTTTCACCTTTCATTTCCACAGAAGATTTTCAATGTAGCACACCATACACCTTCAGTTGCACAGCCCATAAAGACCTTTTGATTAACTAAAATATAAAACATTTAATTTGGCAGAAGTCTTATATTGTGCATTGGTTACACAATTATTAAAGTACTGTTGACTTTCTTTTTTTTTAAAAAAGCAAATGGCTTGATTTATTTTTTAACCTGCAGAAGGAACAACTGCACATTGTTTAGTGACTCTGTCAGTAAATGTAATAGTTTTTTTGCAGTAACGTAAATAGCCATAAAAGTGTCTTTATGGAGATATTTGTGGGAAACCACAAAGATGTAAAATTGTTTACAGCTTTTTCATACTACCTGAAATTATGGTTTCTCACTGCAACTGTTTGATAATATGAAATAAAATTACTGAATATTCATCCAAAAGATTCTCAACATGTCAGACTTTCTGTGAAAGTGTTCCTTATACAAACCTATCTGCATAGAGGAAAAACTACTTCATTTGAATGTCATTGTGTAAATATATATATATTAAAAAAATAACATTGAATTGAGTAGTCATTTTCTTTCTTCGTTTGAGTAGTTTGAGGTTATAACTTTTTATAACTGAGCACTGTTTATACAATATTACAAAATTGTCTTTGACTTGCAATACATGGGCTTCTACATGGAAACTTTCAGTCCAGAAATATAAATGACACATCCAGGTGTTCCTTTTCTTCCATCTATAAAAGACATTGCTATCATTTACTTGGAAATATTGCCCAAATATACTGACCCTTTTAAAAACTTAGTACCTTGAATTGTCAGGTGAGTTTCCCAACACATTGCAGTACTTATTCAATGGCTCTTTTTATTGCAATGTTGAATTGAGATGTCTTCAATATCAATAAGATGGTAATTACTGTATAGCTACTTACATCAGACTGATACTTCAATATCAATAAGATGGTAATTACTGTATAGCTACTTACATCAGACTGATACTGATTGCCGCAGCCTGTACCAGATTCCTGCTTTAAAATGTAGAAGCCATAATGACTGGCATGTGGCATGCCTTTCTTTGCTGTTTACCATTGGCATGTGAAGCTGATTCAACTCAGCAATTATCAATCCAAGTTGACTTCCTCACCCAGCATAAGAGGATAACCACTCGAACCAACTGGTCTCTAATTACCAGGTATAATTCTTGCCTGTTTATTGCATGTAATTTTTTGGGGGAAGAATGTCTTCTAGTCCTTTATTAAGCTCAGCCCTTGCATCCTGAAATTTGGCCTTCTATAGTTGTACACTAAAATTTGGTTGTGTGCTTGCACTCTATTTGCGATCATTCACAAGCACAAAGTCTAGAAGGGACTTACAATAAAATAAATAATCCTTGCATGTGATATAGCGCCTCATCATGTCATTGAGATGCCTCAAAACACTGCGCATGATATACTATAAGGCAGTTTGACTGTATTTTTGGGGTGAAATGTGGCAGCTTGTGAAGCACAACAATGTCCTACAAATAGCCATGAATCGATTGACCAATTTTATTTGGGAGATTGCTGCCCAGAACACAAGGAGAAACTCCCTTCTCTTTTTGATTAGTGTCAATGAGATCTTTAACATCCAACTGAACAGGGAGACAGGACCTCAGTTTAACGTCTCATCCAAATAACAGATAGAATTTTACACTTGTATAGTGCTTTCACTTTGAGGAGGATGTCCCAACAGGCTTGTCAATTCTGGTGGGGCACTGGAGTTGAAGATGGGGGCTAAGGGACGGTGAGGACATGTAGGCTCCCTAAAACTGAATCAAGGAAGAATCATGCATTAATATTGGTGAGCTCTGAATCCAAAAGACATTTCTTCATCTGGGAGATGTTCCAATTCTTAAACTGAATCTTGTCTAATGTACTGGCTTAGCTCATGTCACAATTGAAAATTTCTCAATAGTTGTAGCCACAAAAATACTTTTTAACAGGGGAAGATATTTTATGTATGCTTTATTTCCTGTTGATCATACTGTATTTTCTTCCAGATTAACTGAGGCAACAGCGATATATTTCTTCCAAATTGAGGGCATTAGGCCAATTGTGCTAGCACTACCAAAACTAGCTGAGATCAGCTATACAGCACAGACCCAGAAATCAAAGCTTCCTAGTGTATATGGAGGGGTAGTTTAAAGCTAAGTGTCCAATCTACTTTCAAAATGTGGAATTTAATTCTGGCATAGGTTTCTCCCACCTTCCAGAACTTGGAATAAACAGGTGGCAAACAATGAATATTCCCAGCATGATTCCAAAGTTTTGTAGTCCTCTCACCCCAACCCCCATTCCTCCCTCAAGTTCTTGTGTTGCATGATTTGAACTTTGACAAAGCATTAGCCAACTGACTTGGTTTTCCTCTTATTAAATATGTAAGAATAAAGCATCCGGAAATTGGTCATTCGAGAAGAGAAGGGAGAATAACATGAGGGACTATGTCCTTTAAAGCATATTGATGTTAGATACATTCTGTTCTTTTCAGTTTAGCTTCTTCAACTATTACAGTACAATTATTTTTGCCAACACTTCTTGGCAATGCTTTAAAATTGAAGAATGTCTTCTAAATGGAGCATTGTTTAAAGCATTCATTGCTTGAGGGTATTTTCTGTAAAGAATGGCCATAGCAAATCTTTGTGAAGCTTGTCAAGGCACAAGATTACGTGCACTTATTTGTTGGAATTCTTCTGCCTCAGGTGCAACTGTGAAAAGCTTGGAAATAATTTTAAAAGCTATTTTCACATAAAACCAAATAGGGCAAGTAGGTCAGTCATTGGACCATTGTCCTGTATCTAATGTTTAACAGATTAAGAAGATACATTGTCTCAACAGGTCTAGTTGTATAAAACGTGTTTTTAATTGCTCGTGTTTGCAAATGTTCACAAGATCATTGATGTCTGGCCATTGCTTTTCAACTCCACAAGTTCTCATTGCTCTTTCAACAACAACAACAAGATTTCATTTACTTTCAATCACTTGTTCAGCTAATTCAGAGCTATGGAAACTACAATACAGTAATTGGGTATACAGTTATAATATTCTGCAACATTCTTCATTGTTTATTGATTTGATACTCAATACGATTCTTCTGTTGCTCATTATTGTATCATGCTTTGCACTTAAGGCAGCACAGAATGCTTCAAATATAATGTGACTGTAGAGGCCACTATTCTGTCCTTAAGCCTTGTATTCCAGAGCTGTACTTGAACCTTCACATTCTTTTTTGTGTAATGTTTGCTGCCACACCATAGAATGATGCTTTCAATGTCTGGCAACAATTATACTTCAGTAATTTTCCTGCTGTAATTTAAAGGACATGCTCTTTATTATTTAATACCATTTGGCAATTTTCAATCAAATGTCTTGCAATTTTTTGAATCAAATTTCTCAGAAATATGTGCCACTCGCTAGCTTGGTCGATCTCATTGAACTGGATATTTTTTCTCAGAAAATGCTCTCCTATAAAACACATGCCCTTTAAGACAGTCTCTTAGCCAGTATTCGCTGTAATGTAAATGTGTGCAACTAGAAAATAGTACTGGGTATTCTCATTGATGTATTATTTAAACATTGCTCTGCAAATTGACTTGCTCAGAGATGGGTGGAGTTGAGGAAAGATGATAGAGCATTGAGTTAGCTTTGTTAAAATTGTAACACATTAATGTGGATTTTAGTTCTAGCCCCAACACTGCCAGATTTTTTTTAAGAAACGTTGCAAAAGAATGCAGTAGATGACCAGGCTACCGTTTGAATGTGGGTAGCTGAGTGGAATACCTGATTTGTTGCAATTGAGCTTTAAAAAGATTTACTCCCCGCCATCCCTATCTTCCTTGGGGACATTGCACTATGACTGAGAGGCGAACCAGCCAGCTCTGGATTCTACTAATTCTGCTCTGAAACCAGCTGCTAGGAAATGCACAAGAGCACCCTAGATCATTTTCTCTTCAGTTTTCTTTCCTTCCATCTGAAGAAGATTGAGGCCTCTGCTTGGGTGAAAGATAATATCAGGAAGTAGAAAATTAGAATTGTATATTTTTACACCACAGAAGCCAGTCATTTGGCTCATTGATTTCTTTTCTCCACTTTTAATAATCATTTTAACATTTGTCTTGTTTACGTATCGATCGATCTAGTCCCCTAGAGAAATAAAACCACATTTAAAAATAAAACTTGATTCATGTTGTCACATGGGAATCTCATGCAGATTCAACATAAGACCATAATTGACTTTAAAAACTATTTAGCATTATTTGTAGCTTTTACTACCAATTTTTTATTCAGCTGTTAGTAATGTGATAAGTGCTGATGATGTCTTGTGACGTCTTGGAAGAATAATTTATTTGCTCTTTAGGTTAACTTTCCGATAACACTATGGCTTGTGTGGTGTCTGCTGGGACAATTTCAACTATTGCCATCCTCCTGACTGCTCTCTGTGTTGTTACATCTGGTGTTTTTGAGGGAGGTTTGCAGTGACAAGTCTTTCGTTTCAAGCCTTTTGTATGGCATTAATCCAAGGTTCCTTGAAATGCCTTTATAGCACATATATATATAATATATATATATAATCACACGCACTCACCACCAAGGGTTACTTGTTTTGCTCCACACTTCTTTGCAGTGAGGCTATTGTATACCCAGCCATAATGTTCATAAAGAAGAGCTTTGGAAATTCATCCAGCCTGTAGTGTCCCAAACTATTTTAATTATGCTTTGAAGATTGGAGCTTCAATGATTCTCGGTTGGACTTCTGCACTGTAGTTTGTGTAAAGTTGTCATAAATGGAATGATTTGGGGAAGAAAGAAAACTCAGTTCTAAACAGATGACCCAAGGGTGCAGCGCATTTGTGCTTCAATGTTTGTGTCAGCACAGGCTCATGTTTACATGCAAGTCGTACGTTCCTGATCTGTGTTGCTGTCAGATAGGTATTTGCAAGTGGGAGGGAATGAGATGTACCTTTTACATGCTGGGCCACTTGTAGCAATGGAAGCAGTTACCCTTCCCTAGGGCACCGGAAGAAAAATATTTAAAAAGTTTTTAATATAAGTAATTTAGAAAGTAAATGCTGAGAATTTTAAGATAATTTCCTTTCAGTTCCCTAGCAGTGGAGTTATTAATATCATTGGGTGTTAGTTGTTGGCCAAGTGTCAAGATTTTTCATATAGTGTTAAATTGTGTGGGCTGCATTTGAAATATATCAAGAAACAATTTGTACCAAAACATATTGTTGCTATTATTTGATTCTTATGAAAATATGGCCTGAACAGCATTCTATAATGGCTGATTTATTAACAGGATTATTTAGATTTATTTATTTTAATGGTTGTGTCTTACCCTTAATATTAACTATCAAAAAATTGCACTTTTATTCAAATAATAATAATCCTTGCATTTGATATATCGCCTTATCATGTCTTTGAGAAATCTAAAAATACTTTGCAGACTATACTGTAAAGAGAATTGACTGTATATTTTGTGGTCAAAACATGGCCACCAATTGCACACAGCAGTGTCCCACAAACA